CCCTCACCTCTGTAACAGACACTGTACCCTCACCTCTGTAACAGTCACTGTACCCTCATCTCTGTAACAGACACTGTACCCTCACCTCTGTAACAGTCACTGTACCCTCACCTCTGTAACAGTCACTGTACCCTCACCTCTGTAACAGTCACTGTACCCTCACCTCTGTAACAGACACTGTACCTTCACCTCTGTAACAGACACTGTACCCTCACCTCTGTAACAGTCACTGTACCCTCACCTCTGTAACAGTCACTGTACCCTCACCTCTGTAACAGTCACTGTACCCTCACCTCTGTAACAGACACTGTACCCTCACCTCTGTAACAGACACTGTACCTTCACCTCTGTAACAGTCACTGTACCCTCACCTCTGTAACAGACACTGTACCCTCACCTCTGTAACAGTCACTGTACCCTCACCTCTGTAACAGACACTGTACCTTCACCTCTGTAACAGTTACTGTACCCTCACCTCTGTAACAGTCACTGTACCCTCACCTCTGTAACAGACACTGTACCTTCACCTCTGTAACAGTCACTGTACCCTCACCTCTGTAACAGTCACTGTACCCTCACCTCTGTAACAGACACTGTACCCTCACCTCTGTAACAGACACTGTACCTTCACCTCTGTAACAGTCACTGTACCCTCACCTCTGTAACAGACACTGTACCCTCACCTCTGTAACAGTCACTGTACCCTCACCTCTGTAACAGACACTGTACCTTCACCTCTGTAACAGTACTGTACCCTCACCTCTGTAACAGTCACTGTACCCTTCACCTCTGTAACAGTCACTGTCCCCTTCACCTCTGTAACAGTCACTGTACCCTCACCTCTGTAACAGACACTGTACCCTCACCTCTGTAACAGTCACTGTACCCTCACCTCTGTAACAGACACTGTACCTTCACCTCTGTAACAGTACTGTACCCTCACCTCTGTAACAGTCACTGTACCCTCACCTCTGTAACAGTCACTGTACCTTCACCTCTGTAACAGTCACTGTACCCTCACCTCTGTAACAGACACTGTACCCTCACCCTGCTGTACAGTCACTGTACCCTCACCTCTGTAACAGACACTGTACCTTCACATCTGTAACAGTCACTGTACCCTCACCTCTGTAACAGACACTGTACTTTCACCTCTGTAACAGTCACTGTACCCTCACCTCTGTAACAGACACTGTACCCTCACCTCTGTAACAGTCACTGTACCCTCACCTCTGTAACAGACACTGTACCTCACCTCTGTAACAGTCACTGTACCCTCACCTCTGTAACAGTCACTGTACCCTCACCTCTGTAACAGTCACTGTACCCTCACCTCTGTAACAGTCACTGTACCCTCACCTCTGTAACAGACACTGTACCCTCACCTCTGTAACAGTCACTGTACCCTCACCTCTGTAACAGTCACTGTACCCTCACCTCTGTAACAGTCACTGTACCCTCACCTCTGTAACAGTCACTGTACCCTCACCTCTGTAAGTCACTGTACCCTCACCTCTGTAACAGTCACTGTACCTCACCTCTGTAACAGTCACTGTACCTCACCTCTGTAACAGTCACTGTACCCTCACCTCTGTAACAGTCACTGTACCCTCACCTCTGTAACAGTCACTGTACCTCACCTCTGTAACAGTCACTGTACCTCACCTCTGTAACAGACACTGTACCCTCACCTCTGTAACAGTCACTGTACCCTCCCCATCTGTAACAGTCACTGTACCTCACCTCTGTAACAGTCACTGTACCTCACCTCTGTAACAGTCACTGTACCCTCACCTCTGTAACAGTCACTGTACCGTCTCGGAAAGTTGCCGCTCATTTGAATTCAAATTGAATAAATTTGCTACAACATTGGAGATTAATTGTGTATACAAAAAATGTCCCAGAGAGAACAAGAGGCTTCAAGAATACCATCATTAGTTTGGTCTCTCCTGTTTTGAAAGTTCTAGTTATCCATCCTGTCATTTTCCCCAGGGTTGTAGTAATGATGCTGTTGGGATCCTTAAAAGTGAGATCCTATAACAGGATTTATCCCGGGGCTCTGGTGGCCTGGTGGTTAACGCTTTCGCTTCACACGGCGAGGGCCTGGGTTCGATTCCCAGCCAGAGTAGAAACAATGGACGTGTTTCTTTCCACCTGTTGTCCATGTTCCCCATCAGTAAAATGGGTACCTGGGTGTTAGTCGACTGGTGTGGGTCGCATCCTGGGACACTGACCTAATTTGCCCGAAATGCTGAGCATAACAAGGGACTTTCTGTATAGTAGTATGTCATTGTTGTCAGCTAGGACTGTATACCTTGTACATGTACTTGTAGTAAATAAAGATATTATTATTATTATATTATTATTATTATTATTATTATTATTATTATTATTATTATTATGATCCTTTTTTTCAAATATTTTCCATATCAAAGTAGGTGAAACTTGTCCTCATTAGGCATCATATTATTTTCTTTGGCCCATTGAAAGATTTGGTTTATATTTGCTCGGACATTAGCTGTGTCCTTAATGGCTGCCACTTTCATACATATTCTGGTAACGTTCATGAAAGAAGATACGTTGTTGTAAATTATTTCTCTACCTCTGTCAGACATAAGACTGAGAAAGAACTGGGGAGAGTAGTGTAGCACTGTACCTTGGGACACAGAGCTTTTCACTGTGACCAGCCTCTGATTTTACCTTGTCCACCGTTACTCTTTGCGTTCTATTTGTCACAAAGTTCAAAGTCCATCTACTCGCTTTTTGGAGTTATTCCTCTCGCAAGCATTGTGTGCTTTGTTGCACCATGATTGCACTTGGGTTGGGTTAGGTAAGACTCGTCAGGAAACAGGTCGAGTGTTTCTAGTCGAAGATCTTTGCAAAGTCAGTGTCATTTGTCTTTTGTCTGTCTTTCAGTGCACGGTTGAACCTTACAAATCTTCCATCTCCGTTCACGATGAATTCCCTACAATGTTTGTTAACTAATCATTACTCTGAAAATTGTTCATGATTGTAATCATGTGTTCACGATTGTAACCAGCTCTACCTGGAGCTCATTACCTTTGTCAATTCTCATTATTGTAACCAAATCTAGCTCATTAACTTTGTAATTAGTCATGAGTGTGACCAGCTCTACCTGGAGCTCATTACCTATGTACTTTGTCACGATTGTGACCAAATCTAGTTCATTACATTTGTAACTTGCTCAGCTATCAAAACTTTGGAGTCGAGTCCCTGGACCAGTTATGTACCTACCTCCGTTCAACATACACAGAATGCTAAAGAAATAAGAAACATAGAGAGACACAGGAAAGCAAAGATGTTTCTTATTTCTGTAGCATTCCCTTTTCATTTTATGCCTAATCTGAGATCGGGTAGCGGTGGCGATGCGAAAGGTAATAAACCCAGCCAGGCATATAGGTTCTGGGTGTTCCTTGGTGTTTTAGGGAAATGCTACAAGCTAAGTCAAAGAATAAATAATGGACTGTAATGGGACTTATCTTGAGAGACAGCTCTCGCCTACACAGCCATCCCTGTAGGCGATGTCTTGAGAAGCTGTAGTATGCACTCCCTAATGGCTGTGTGAAAAAAATGTTGCATAAGTACAATTACCCCTAGGGTGTGTTGTGTCAGCATATCAAAAACTGACTACTGACGGGAATATATACTTACTTGTGCTGCGCTAAAAAGCCCGCCTATAACCGAGTGTATGATACATCTAGAAAGAAATGTTTCAGCTGTCTGCTCTGCAGCTGACCTAGCTAGTAACATTTACGACCAGACCTACCTGGATGTCTGTATCGGACCCATATTTTCACTCGGGTATCGGTGTCTTGATTGAAGCAGACATGTTCTTTGAAGAATGTCTCACTACACTCGTCAGGATCGCAACACTCGTTGTTATACACTGTTCATCAAGTACTTTGATCATTCACAGTCTTATCATTAAAGAAGCTGATCACACTTCTCTGTAAGTGTTTTGCTGTGTTCTTTGAGATTCTTTTATGCACACAAACACGCGGATCAGTGTTCTTTGTTCGTTATCCCGGCGTCAGTGCGTCCCTTGGTAGGGTTAAAAGCAATCTAAGTAAGCTAAGACGCCCTTTGCCGCACTTCGCTTGCCCTCAGTTACAAAGGAAAAGATGACATAGCATATTTCCCCTGCTTGCCAAACTTCCACCAGGAAGCAAAGCAGAATGCTTCATTCTTGCTGCCTGGGCATAGACAACAATGTACACTATCTTTAACATGGTAATAAAGTGGGTGCAGGATTTTCCTCAGTTGTCCTGCTAAGGTAAGAGATTGGTTGTCTCTCATTAAACTACACTATTTGCAACACTGGTCTCTTGCAAGGAGTCACATGACCTATGACTGGTACACGCTGGTAAAACATCTGCTTGTAATTACTTGATGTGAAAGTAAACAAGATGCTTGCCCCTTCTGAGAGGGCTGGGCCACTCAGGGCTGAAAAGGGCTGAAGGGGGCTGATATCCCCCTCCTGGAGAAAATTTCTCCACATGGTGTACCTGTTGTTAATGTTCACCTATTAGTATGAAATGGGTACCTGGGTGTTAGTCGATTGGTGTGGGTCGCATCCTGGGACAAAACTGACCTAATTTTCCCGAAATGCTCTGCATAACAAGCGACTTTCTATGTAGAAGTATGTCATTGATGTCAGCTTGTAGAAATAAAGATATTATTATTATTATTAGTATTAGTATTATTATTATTACTAACGTTCACTAATCTCACACTTAATCCGACGGCCACTCTACCACACCACCTTCCCGACAGCCACACTAACACACACCTTCCCGACAGCCACACTAACACACCTTCCCTACAGTCACACTAACACACCTTCCCGACAGCCACACTAACACATCTTCCCTACAGCCACACTAACACACCTTCCCTACAGCCACACTAACACACCTTCCCGACAGCCTCACTAACACACCTTCCCGACAGCCTCACTAACACATCTTTCTTCCCGACAGCCGCGAGAAGGCCAAGATGGCGTGGAGACATCGCTCCAAGGATGAGAAGATACTTATTCGTGTCATAGGGTTTCTTGTCTTCGCTCTTATGTGCTTCATCGCCGCTGTCGTAATCATGGACCTAACCTGTAAGTTACTATACATCACCTGTAAGTTACTATCCATCACCTATAAGTTACTATCCATCACCTGTAAGTTACTCTCCGTCACCTGTAAGTTACTATCCATCACCTGTAAGTTACTATCCATCACCTATAAGTTACTATACATCACCTGTAAGTTACTATCCATCACCTGTAAGTTACTATACATCACCTGTAAGTTACTATCCATCACCTGTAAGTTACTATCCATCACCTGTAAGTTACTATACATCACCTGTAAGTTTCTATCCATCACCTATAAGTTACTATCCATCACCTGTAAGTTACTATCCATCACCTGTAAGTTATTACCCATCACCTGTAAGTTACTATCCATCACCTGTAAGTTACTATACATCACCTGTAAGTTACTATCCATCACCTGTAAGTTATTATCCATCACCTATAAGTTACTATCCATCACCTGTAAGTTACTATCCATCACCTGTAAGTTACTATCCATCACCTGTAAGTTACTATCCATCCCCTGTAAGTTATTACCCATCACCTGTAAGTTACTGTCCATCACCTGTAAGTTACTGTCCATCACCTGTAAGTTACTATCCATCACCTGTAAGTTACTATCCATCACCTGTAAGTTACTATACATCACATGTAAGTTACTATCCATCACCTGTAAGTTACTATCCATCACCTGTAAGTTACTATCCATCACCTGTAAGTTACTATCCATCACCTGTAAGTTACTGTCCATCACCTGTAAGTTACTATCCATCACCTGTAAGTTACTATCCATCCACCTGTAAGTTACTATCCATCACCTGTAAGTTACTATCCATCACCTGTAAGTTACTATCCATCACCTGTAAGTTATTTTCCATCACCTGTAAGTTATATCCATCACCTGTAAGTTACTATCCATCACCTGTAAGTTACTATACATCACACTGTAAGTTATTATCCATCACCTGTAAGTTACTATCCATCACCTGTAAGTTACTATCCATCACCTGTAAGTTACTATCCATCACCTGTAAGTTACTATCCATCACCTGTAAGTTACTATCCATCACCTGTAAGTTACTATCATACCTGTAAATTACATCCATCATGTAAGTTACTATCCATCACCTGTAAGTTACTATCCATCACCTGTAAGTTACTATCCATCACCTGTAAGTTACTATCCATCACCACCACATATAACTCACTATACATCACCTATAATTCAGTCACCCATCACCTGTAATTCACTCACTCATCACCTGTAAATCGGTCACCCGTCACCTGTAAACTATGGAACCATTAGTCGAGAATTTGTGAGCCCTCACATGTAAATTAAAGACTTTGTAAATTAAGAACCAATAACCTGTAAATTAAGGATCTATAACCTGCAAATTAAAGACCTATAACCTGTGAATTACAGACCAATAACCTGTAAATTAGAGACCTCTCGCCTGTAAATTAAGGTAGGACCTCAAGCCTGCTAGCTGAGGAGGGACCAATACCTGTATGTTACCTGTAGTCGCTTCTGGAGGTCACCGCCCCCGCAGCCCGGTCCCGACCAGGCCTCCTGGTTGCTGGCCTGATCGATCAGGTTGCTGGTGTACTTCTGTCTTAAACGAAGCTCGCCATATGGTGTTCCCTCATCTCAGGATGAGTAAAGAGAGAGTGCCTGTCACATGATGGGAGTGACGGAGGATCGAGCCTCCGCCACTCCTTGTATATGACGACCCACACGGATGAAGAGAGTCATTAACCATTGTCAAGTAGCAACTAAATGAGAATAAGACAGAAAGTCCAAAGATGGAACGGGTTATTTGTATACTATTCCAGCCACGAAACCTTAACCTCATCTTTACAATGTAAATTTTATTTAAAATTGATGTATATAATGGAGTCGAGTTACTGTAAATACCAGAAGGTTAATTTTTTTTATATAAAACATAAAAAATTTTTCACTATTAACTCCGTTTAAAAAAATAGTAATAGTTCAGTAGGAAATAATAAAGAGTGAGCAGGACCTGGGTTTATTTAATGTTTCCCACGACTATATACATTGATGTTTATTTAAATTAGTCATTAGTGTAGGTTTGTACACATAAATATTTTGCATTATTATATCTTACAGCTTAACAACAACCATAAGTTAAGACGGTATAACGCAAACATATTATCAGCAATTCCTTTCATGGCATATAATAAACATTCTGGAGAAATACCCTGACTTTGCTAGCTGTAAATAATGCATTACCACGTGTGTGTGTGTGTGTGTGTGTGTGTGTGTGTGTGTGTGTGTGTGTGTGTGTGTGTGTGTGTGTGAGTGTGTGTGTGTGTGTGTGTGTGTGTGTGTGTGTGTGTGTGTGTGTGTGTGTGTGTGTGTGTGTGTGTGTGTGCGTGTGTGTGTGGTGTGTGTGTGTGTGTGTGTGTGTGTGTGTGTGTGTGTGTTGTGTGTGTGTGTGTGTGTGTTTGTTTGTGTGTGTGTGTGTGTGTGTGTGTGTGTGTGTGTGTGTGTGTGTGTGTGTGTGTGTGTGTACTCACCTAGTTGTACTCACCTAGTTGAGGTTGCAGGGGTCGAGTCCAAGCTCCTGGCCCCGCCTCTTCACTGGTCGCTACTAGGTCACTCTCCCTGAACCATGAGCTTTATCGTACCTCTGCTTAAAGCTATGTATGGATCCTGACTCCACTACATCGCTTAATAAACTATTCCACTTCCTGACTACTCTGTGGCTGAAGAAATACTTCCTAACATCCCTTTGATTCATCTGTGTCTTCAGCTTCCAACTGTGTCCCCTTGTTACTGTGTCTAGTCTCTGGAACATCCTGTCTTTGTCCACCTTCTCAATTCCTCTCAGTATTTTGTAAGTCGTTATCATGTCCCCCCTATCTCTCCTGTCCTCCAGTGTCGTCAGGTTGATTTCCCTTAACCTCTCCTCGTAGGACATACCTCTTAGCTCTGGGACTAGTCTTGTTGCAAACCTTTGCACTTTCTCTAGTTTCTTTACGTGCTTGGCTAGGTGTGGGTTCCAAACTGGTGCCGCATACTCCAATATGGGCCTAACGTACACGGTGTACAGGGTCCTGAATGATTCCTTATTAAGATGTCGGAATGCTGTTCTGAGGTTTGCCAGGCGCCCATATGCTGCAGCAGTTATTTGGTTGATGTGCGCTTCAGGAGATGTGCCTGGTGTTATACTCACCCCAAGATCTTTTTCCTTGAGTGATGTTTGTAGTCTCTGACCCCCTAGACTGTACTTCATCTGCGGTCTTCTTTGCCCTTCCCCAATCCTCATGACTTTGCACTTGGTGGGATTGAACTACAGGAGCCAGTTGCTGGACCAGGTCTGCAGCCTGTCCAGATCCCTTTGTATTTCTGCCTGGTCTTCGATCGAATGAACTCTTCTCATCAACTTCACGTCATCTGCAAACAGTGACACCTCGGAGTTTATTCCTTCCGTCATGTCGTTCACAAATACCAGAAACAGCACTGGTCCTATGACTGACCCCTGTGGGACCCCGCTGGTCACAGGTGCCCACTCTGACACCTCGCCTCGTACCATTACTCGCTGCTGTCTTCCTGACAAGTATTCCCTGATCCATTGCAGTGCCTTCCCTGTTATTCCTGCTTGGTCCTCCAGTTTTTGCACTAATCTCTTGTGTGGTACTGTGTCAAACGCCTTCTTGCAGTCTAAGAAAATGCAATCCACCCACCCCTCTCTCTCTTGTCTTACTGTCGTCGCCATGTCATAGAACTCCAGTAGGTTTGTGACACAGGATTTCCCGTCTCTGAAACCATGTTGTCTGCTGGTGATGAGATCATTTCTTTCTAGATGTTCCACCATTTTTCTCCTGACAATCTTTTCCATGATTTTGCATGCTATACATGTCAGTGACACTGATCTGTAGTTTAGTGCTTCATGTCTGTCTCCTTTTTTAAAGATTGGTACCACATTTGCTGTCTTCCATGCCTCAGGCAATCTCCCTGTTTCGATAGATGTATTGAATATTGTTGTTAGGGGTACACATAGCGCCTCTGCTCCCTCTCTCAGGACCCATAGAGAGATGTTATCTGGCCCCATTGCCTTTGAGGTATCTAGCTCACTCAGAAGCCTCTTCACTTCTTCCTCGGTTGTGTGTTTCCAGCATATGGTGGTGTACCCCACCTCTCCGTCTTTCTGGAGCCCCGTCTGTCTCCTCTGTGAACACTTCTTTGAATCTCTTGTTGAGTTCCTCACATACTTCACTGTCATTTCTTGTTGTCTCTCCTCCTTCCTTCCTTAGCCTGATTACCTGGTCCTTGACGGTTGTTTTCTTACTGATGTGGCTGTATAACAGCTTCGGGTCAGATTTGGCTTTTGCTGCTATGTCGTTTTCATATTGACGTTGGGCCTCCCTTCTTATCTGTGCATATTCGTTTCTTTCTCTACGACTGCTCTCCTTATTCTCCTGGGTCCTTTGCCTTCTATATTTCTTCCATTCCCTAGCACATTTGGTTTTTGCCTCCTTGCATCTTTGAGTGAACCATGGGCTCATCCTGGCTTTTTCATTATTCCTGTTACCCTTGGGTACAAACCTCTCCTCAGCCTCCTTGCACATTGTGACTACATATTCCATCATCTCATTAACTGGTTTCCCTGCCAGTTCTCTGTCCCACTGAACCTCATTCAGGAAGTTCCTCATTCCTGTGTAGTCCCCTTTCCTGTAGTTTGGTTTCATTCGTCCTGGCCTTCCTGCTTCCCCCTCCACTTGTAGCTCTACTGTGTATTCGAAGCTCAAAACCACATGATCGCTGGCCCCAAGGGGTCTTTCATATGTGATGTCCTCAATATCTGCACTACTCAAGGTGAATACTAAGTCCAGTCTTGCTGGTTCATCCTCTCCTCTCTCTCTTGTAGTGTCCCTTACGTGTTGGTACATGAAATTTTCCAGTACCACCTCCATCATCTTAGCCCTCCATGTATCTTGGCCCCCATGTGGCTCCAAGTTCTCCAATTCGATCTCCTTGTGGTTAAAGTCGCCCATGA